AATTCAACACTGCCGGTAACATACATAGAAAAACTTGATATTATGAATAAAAAAAGTAACTGAATTTTAATGATTATCAATTAAATTATAAGGGTGCGGAATTTATAAATGTAAGTTATATGTATGATACATATAATTCCTTGTACCAACATATTTATTCAATATAAAAACTCGTTTTCATAATAATAATGTGTTAAACATTCAAAATTAAAAAACTGTTGGACAATAGATAATAAATCAATTTCATTAATAAAAGCGTGCCCACTGAAACGTTTTTGAGATAATTAATATATTTTTAAAGAAAATTCTAAGTATACTTACATGATCAAATTTATATTTTTGAGTAAATTCAGTGATTCATTTTTACTTTTTTTTACTTCGAAAGATATTGCGTTAGATTACACACGCACTTTAGTACCTGAAATCAAATCCTCGGTATTGGATACTATTAGGGAGAATTTATATAATGGTTCCTCGAGATAGCAGTTTTGTATTATTATATTTAATCAGATTTTCTGATACTTCATAGTTTTTGTCATTGACAGTCTCTCTTCGTCCTTTCCACCTTGATACTAAACCACGGATATAGCCGAATCATGGATTTGCTGCGTCTCAAGTTGGTCATCGAAGTGAAGAAATTCTTCTGGGTCAACATTAATAGCAACAAAGAACTTGAATTTCAGTCGGGGTATGGGTATTGACAATATGTTAATAAAATTGAAGGTCATTTTAAGTTTAACTTTTCATGTTATATTTCCGGCTTAGTGGGAGTTTTCAGCAAATTTTAATACTGAAACATGTCCATTTCTGACTTAGTGAGGTTTCTGTCTTGGCGGGATGAACTCATTATGTATTTGAAACGAGCTAAAAAAATTGTTCGTATTTATGGGGTTCCGGTCTTGCTAAAATTTCGTCTTATCGAGGTTTTACTATAAATAATATCGTGGATTGTGGTTGTTGTATACGATTTATAGAAATGTAAACTAAAATAAATAGGTAGATAGTTACATGCTTTAGATTTAAAGCTATTCGCATTAAATTAATAACACGTACAATACAAGACAACATTAACACATTTTAAAATATAGTTTACTTAGTTATACTAGTTTTCGGATTTTAACAATTTAAAAAGATTTAATAGGTATCTAACGATAATTTTATGAAATAATAAATAATATCTAAATAATTTATGTACCTATAAAAATAACATAATTTATTGTATATTTTTAAGACTATTATAATACAAACTCTATGTTGCATATATTCAATATTTCTTTCTATACAACTTATCTGCCCAATATAAATTATCATATTTAACTACGCCTCAACAAAGTCAGTAAGTAGTTAGTAGCCAATAGTAGTGTTGCTTTGTTGCCTTAAGAATTAAGATGCATAAACAATGAAGAATTTTGTATACTATATTTTGAAGTAAAGTATACTACACAGTTGGGCTGCATAGTAAACAAAACACACTATAGAAATAGGTATTGTAGTCAATGAACACATTTACTCCTTTATTTTGTTTTAAATAAGTAATAGAGTATACGAAAACACTTGAAAAATAAAAAATAAAAATATTCATGGTAAGTAACTGTTGACTGTCGAAGTTTGAAAGTAAGTACACCTATAGGACTAAATTTACCAACTCTTGGACACTCAACAATTAATTTCCTTCGACAACAACAGGTAAATAGCAAGCAAAAACATGAACATTTTCTTTTCTTGTTGGTCTATTTATTCCTCAATTATTTTCTAAAGAGGCAGTGAGAAGAACAACATATGTTCTCGGTTGCTTTCACAGATGTGCTAATTAGTGATTTAAAATAAAAATGAAGATCGGAAGTTAAAATTCAATTGTACCACGCCACCACGACCTTGGTAGTACAATTTACATTAAGTGACAAATTATTTTAGTATTAAAATTACTATAAAATCTAGATATTATAAAAAATGTCAAGTTTATTTGATTTTAAACAATACTTAAAGAATAGGTAATCATAATCATAAATTATTTTATTGATTACTCTTTTAGTACTCCTACTTCAATTAAGTTCAACATCAAAAATAGTAACACGTATCGATTTCTATTTAGTTCTTGGTAAAATGCATACATTTCTTAAATAACTTTACACAGTTTGATGTATAAAACTTCACTAATAATTTCATTTTGTACAAATTTTTAATAAAAAATTTTTCTTCAAATATTTTTTTTTAATTAAATCGATTTTTACAAAATGTACAGTTGTTTGACTATATATAATGGTTAAATATCGAATAAATATACATAAACAAAAATCAACTTTAGATAATTCCTATCGCAAGAAACTTCTGTATGAAAAATGATTGAAAAACTCTTCCAAGTTAACTTTAATAACAACAAAACTATATCTTCTTTTACTTCGCCTTTCGCCTAAGTATTTGGGGTCCGTCACTTTTGTCCGAAACCTCCACTCATCACAATTTTCTACATCCTCTAGGCACACACCAACATCCATCAAATCATTCTCAATCATATCTAATCATCTCTTTTAGGGTCATCCTCTTTTCCCTTCAACGTTCATTTTCATAACGTCTTACTCATTTAGTAGCAAAACTAAAAATTTTAATCCAAAAAAATTTTGTGAACTTAAATCATTATCAATGCTAAAAGTAAAAACCTTTACAGCATTGAATTTAGTATAACTGCTTATTGATAGTTCAAAAATAATTGTATGTTATCACTTTTAGAGGTAAGTATTAGATAGTTACATAGTATTAAATCCTACAAATTTAATCGGATATAGATCTGGTATACTCGTATTTTTAAGTTACATTTACCTTCTAAATATTTTTCGCAAAACTACATGAAAACCAAAAACAATATTAGATTAAGTTTATGTTACATGAAAACTTTAACTCACAAATAATTTTTTTGCAAGACGATAACGATAAACAATATTAGTATTTTATTAGTATTATTTTTTTATTTTACATTTTATCAATTTCCGTGCCCCACATAAATCAATGTCCACTGTCAGATTTCAATTTTAATAAATTTTATTTAACTTTGTTATAAAACGAACTTGAATGATTATTCCCAAGCAACAATTCGTCTACGACTTATGCAACCATACAGGCACGTAAATATGTTGACATTGAAAATGTACAGTATTAATACAACGTAATAATATATTTATCCATGAGAAAGATAACAGGATTGTTTCCTAGACTGGGAAGAAATTATATCATAAAAAAATTACTCCTACCATAAGAGCTACATATGAAGACTGGAAATATTTACTCTTCTCAATGCTAGAAAAACCAAACCAGCATGGTTTCATCACATAATATCTGTTTTGTGGTTTAATGGCGATACTCGATAGTGAATACGCAAATTCTTTCCGACATGCACTCTTTATACACTTGGTATCGGTTCATAATTGTTTGAAGATTCGTATTTGTGATCATAATAATAAAGCCGTGAATAGTAAATTGCGTCAGAGTGAGTGAAGTGAAACGAATGAGCAATACTCATCTACTCACGCTCTGTGCTTATCATACCAACTCCTCATTTATATCCATAGATATAATATACAGTATATATAAATAGTAGACTATTTGTCAATATATATGAATAAGTGATGATTGCTGATTGAACCTGTATACTTTCAACTATTAATAAAATCAATATTAGTTATATATTGTAAATTAAAATCTTTGTTGAAATGCAAAGAAAAATATAACTTGCACAACAGTTTTTGAAAAATTATTTAGAAAATTTGGCAGTAAAATTGGATAATAATTGAACAGTTATTATTTTCTATGATAAGAATTTGAGTTTAAAATTATTTTATTACAATACAGCGTAAACATTAGTTGCAATGTGAATTGTGATAAAATCAAGACATTTATATTACGTTCTGCTTTGATGAATATAGAACTCCTAGGTCTTCCAAAAAATGTATATGAAGAAAAAAATAAACCATAGTAACTTTCACTAAGAATATTGTTCATACATGAGAAAGAATTTGAACTAGAAGATATTTTTATTAAATACACATTCAGATTTTAAATAGTTTTTATTTTTATCGATTTACATTTTTTTATTCGTACATATCATATACATGAACATATACGTATATACATAAATAATTTATTATTTATAAATATTTGTATATATATTATATGGTAGAATCAAAAAATGGTCATACCACAAAAATGTATGGATTTATATGTTAAACATATATATATATATATATATATATATATTTATATGTATGTATAAGTATATATATAAAAAAAAATCATAAGCTATTCACAAATACAGGAAAAATTAATATTAGGTATGCACCATAGTAGAAAATAAAATATTACTAAATAATAATTTATAAATGTGTTAACATTTTTATAGAAAAATGGTCTAAGATATTATAATAGTGTGAAGATTGCAGAAGACATTAGATACTATTTAAACATTTAAAGTAAAGAGAGCTAAGGGAGAAACAACTAAAAAATCAAAATATCACACATTAAATGTGGCTTAATCTTTGGCACTTGACTTCACACAATGTATATTTCATTGTGAAGCAAGACAGACGCACGGGAACACTTTGATATCGCTTCTTAATATACTGAAGAAGCAAATCAAAATATTTATAATAACATATCAATTTTGTTCTGGAATAATGGCGTCAAAATAAAATTAATATCACAAAAGTTTTTAAAAAAACGGTATATAATGCTTTCTGCAAAACCACTTGATCAATTAAAAATATGTTAATGTACTAAAAAAAAAAAATAAATAAATAAATAAAATAAAATAATTATAATAAAAACAAGACAAATTATTAAATGTCTAGATCCATAAATTATTTACACGGACTGAATACGTTTAAAAATCCGTTTTCTCTTAAACTAACATTGTTCCATTGACTAATATATTTTTTTATATCTTTTTTTCTTTAAGTATAAAAAGTATAAAAAATATGTGTTACAAAATAATAAGTTTTAAAAACAATACATTAATTAGGCCATTATTATTATTACACCATCTATTTCCTTTTATATTACATAGAAATACATGCTATATAGTTATTTCATTCCTGTCTTATACATTTTGTATCAATAAAACCTGCATTTCGAAAAAACAAAAAAAAAAAAATTTACACATTACAGAAAACATATTTAACACTAGATAAATAATAAGAAACATATTCTATCTTTATATAACATTTAATGGCACTTTCAGTAATGTGCCATGTATGATAGGTAGATTAATAAAAATCTGCGTGTTAATAATTTGTATCATGTTTATTATCAATATCATCAACAGTCTTTATAAAACGTACCCTTTTTAAAGCTGGATATGTAAATTTTAGTGAGAACAGTTCCTGGAACCATAACTATTGAATATGAATTTGGCCGAATTTCTGAAAATAAAAATATACATTCATTACAATTATTTAAAAAAAATGATCTAAAAATAGTAAACTAAACCAATAAGTTTCTCAGAGAACCATACAATTTTGGAGTCATTGTGTGTCACAAAAAATTTAAAAATAATTTCATAAGGCAATTATTAAAAAATTCTTTATTAGGTAAGAAAACCAATAACTTAAATAAAGTAGATATAAAACTAAAATTATTAATATATTAAATTTGATTATACTATTGATGAAGTAGTAAAAGGTATAGGCTTTTAAAGTATACTTTATTATATGCTATGATGAAATAAATAACCGTCATCAATAAACAAAACAAAAATAAATTTTTTAACTATAAAAATCATATGTATACCTAAAATTATTCATTTGTTTTTTGTGTCTTAAAAGCTATAATTTTAAATAAGAGGTTAACATTTGATATAAAAAAAATCTATCAAATAATTATAGAACACTTATAACAAAATATTTTATAAAAATTATGACCTAATAAAGAATTTTTGTATTCTTTTTGCAATTAATTGTTGGGAAAATATTTGTTAAATGCAATATAGTGTGCTGATAAGTTAATGTTTACATAACCTTTACAGCTGTACTACTTGATTTATTTTCATCCCACGCATAATTAAGTACAACATAAATATGACACATAATTGAAAATAATGTTGAATAAATAACATAACTTATAATTTTCTAAATTGCGCCTGAACGCTGCGAAACATATATGTAGCAGTAAATGTAGTATAATAATGGACATAGTTTTCAATCGGTTTTTATTTAAACTTGTTTAAAATAAAAACAATTTTATTATCCATTGATTATTTGTACTATTTTGAACCTATGCAAATAAAAATAAAATGTACATAAGCTGTTTCATTTAAAATCGGTATCAATTGCCGGAGAATCGAGTTTCGCACTATACAACGGATGGACGGGCCCAATTTAATCTTTAACGGTGGTCGTGTTCTATTTATGGGTTCCCCCTATGATACGAATTACCACACACCTTATATAGGCCCGTCCTGTTATATATTACTATATACAGAGTGATTATTTAAATTTTCAATGGTAATCAGTCAATATATGTCAATACTTAAACACATGCAGGTAAATTAGGGAAGGAGGGCGGTTGGAGCGATTCCCATAGAGACCGTATTGTAATAACCACTAATTAAGATAAACGGTATATAAAATATATAAAATTATTTTAAAGAAGGTTAATCCCCTTCCTCAAAAAATAACCACCTATTTAAAACCCTACTTTAACAACGGAAAATTAATAACTGAATTTAGTTCAAAACTTAACTATTCAATATGATGTCAAAATTAATTTAAAATTTTGAAAATTAGAGAAAAATATAACAATAATGTTGACACTTCAAAAAAATATAAAATTTTCATTATTTAGAAGATAAAAAATTCAAGGCTATTTTTTATTAGAAACTAATTTACATAAATATAATCGCTCTGTATACATATTAAAAAACAAGTATATACATAAGGTTATAATATGTATTATAAATAATTTGATATTCTAATTCTATTTTTTAACAAGCCAACAATGTGCAGTTTTCGGAGCAATCTTCCGGTCACAGCCCTAATATCCAAAACCAATTATTTCGTTCGCTAAACGTATACCAATAAATTACATGAAACAATACATTTGACTACTATAAATTAACAGAACACACGCCCAAAGGGTTCTAAGTCAAAATAAATGGCCATCCAATCAAATCATTTTTTTGATAAGCTATTGAATCAACAGATAATTAACTAACCGATGGCCATTTGATATCCTCTCCCATATGATTTGATTTAAACGACCATAACCTTAATTTGCACGACTAGACATTTGAAATAGCAACAACTCGTTTGCGCACGTTTAAAAATGTTTTGTTATTATATATATTTAAATTTATTATTGGTCAATAAAAACAATGCAATGAATTATAAAAGAAATTTAACTGTATATAAGGAAAAATACTCACATGATATATAGAATTAATATAAAATAAAATCGATGAACTTAAAAAAAAATTATTTAAAATTAATTTCGCCATATAAATTTATTTAATTTAATTTAATTTATTATTATTTAATAATAATAATTACGGCGATACTTCATTAAAATTTGGTATTATATTATAGGCATTTGTAATATATGCCTAAGTAATGTATATGGTACCGAGTCATAGTGGTATCAAGTACCAACCAAAAATCTGCGTGTGCAAACCATAGACAAAATTCAAATTATGTATATTGCCTATGATGCAAACGATTTATGTCTTTTTACGCAAACGAGATGTAGCCATTTGAAATACGTATAAATATAAATACATTCACAAGACAAAATTGATTTTATTATTACGCTCAATATATACACTATATACGCTCAACGGGAGTCGTGTTATTATTAGAATTTTTATAAGTAAAATCAGTCACAGAAGTATAGGGATAATTTTAACCCAAACATTTCTATACCCTTGTCGACGAAACTTATACAGATCTCATGAATAATCGAAATACTCCCACACGTGTAGTAAACGTGTTTTTCGAGTGAAAACATACTACATAATAGTTGAACGCGACACAGAGAAAGGCTTACATAATTACCTAACAACACATCAACTAAACGAATTTATTACCTCTGACCAGCTGACCTGGTAAAAAAAACATAAGCACCATATCAAAAATTTTTTACAGAAGATACTGTTGCTTTTTTAATAATAATTGATTAAACAAAAATGACAAAAATAACGCACAACAGTCGTATTACAAATGTTATTAATATTTATATCATGACTTGTGGCTATCAATTATATTATTATCGTCACGTATAATAAGTAGAATTGGTATATATGTATTAGACGTATTGTGAAGATAAGGACAAACTAATCGTTGTAAATGTAATCGTTTTACAGAACACATTTTGTTTTTGTACCAACGAAAACATCCATAATAATAAATTAATATTATATTTAATATAAACAAAAATTAGATATAAAGACCCTCTGTCTAAATAAAAATATCACAGGTTTTTGAGATCTCATAACATACCATCTAGAACATACGACAAACGATATCTAAGCAAATGGACAAAATCCAATTGTATTCTGTCTAACCTCTGTTTACCCTTAAAACCTAACAATTGGCCAATCCTTAAAACTATTTCAATAGAAAAACGGACATTTTCATCAATAAGGTTGTTATACCTAACATGATACAAAGGTATGGTCATTATTTTGGTTTCTTAACGATTTATAACTCGAATAAAAGAAAATGGGAGTGCCCTAGAAAATTTGATTGTAACATGTATTTTAATACATACATTACATACATATATTTTGTGTAGACATTCTTCTACTACTATCGTTGACAATTAAGTCGGTAATTATTATATAGTATTGCTATTATTATCACAACTTCGGAAATTAACATGGGCATGGTGCAATATTATTAAATTGCCTGGGTATCAGATCATCATAAACATGTACAGCTATAATGCATACAGTATAGACAACGTAATTAAGAATATTATGAACGTTTACTAATGGACATTGAAAATGGTTCATCATTTGACGTTTAGGACGATTATAACTGCTTAAAATATTAGATTTTATGAAGTGTGATTGTGTAAATATATAGCTAATATTAATAAACCTGCGTCATATTATTATTCAGTGTACAAATAGAAGAATTTAATACAATTCCAGTTTATATGAAGAAGCCAGTTACACAAAATATAAGGGTTTCAATGAGTTAACTAGTATCTAGTTTATAACTATTACATAAATGTAAATGTAATGACAATTATGTTTAAATTAAAAATTGTTTGAATACTTGAAGACTGTACATGAATTCTATTAAAAATTTTTATTTCAGAATTTGATATGACTAAATTAATAAATGATAAACAATTGATGGCTTGATTTGTGTTTATAATAATATTTAAATATTTAAAATATCAAATTTTTTACATATTTCATATTAATAATATCTACTACACTTTCTATAGTTCTTAAGTATTCATTTAGTATTAGTTTGAGTATAATAAATACTATGTATATGTTGTTCTTATTTGTAAGAAATATAGATTATAACAAAATAAATGTTTATGAATGCATAATATCAATATTAAATATTAATTAAACAATATTGAGTTAAAAATGTTTTTACGTTTACTTTTAAAATTTTATATAAACAATGCTACTATAATAAATACAAAATAAATAACTTTATTTGTGTTAATATAAAAACTTGATAATAAATAAATGGGTACTACATGTCTAACCATTTACTAATTTTAACAGTTTACTTTTAAAAAGTGTTTATTCTATAAATGTTTAGTATTTAAACTTTATATGTTTAGATAAATATTATTAAAAAATATATATAACACCGACTACACTATTATTTTCTACAATTGCTAAAAACAAAATAAATAAAAAAAAAATTAAATTACTTTAAATCCTAAATGTGATTCAACTTTTATGTAAACCATTAAATATTAAGTATCAAAAGATGTAATTTTGAAGTACCTTTAACTGCCAGAGAACATAATTTTATTTTTATTTTTATATATTATATTAATCAAATAAATTGTAAATAAGAATCTACATTTTAGATCAAATATGAAAAGGTTATTTATTTTATTAAGAACATTTAAATAATTTATTATTTTTTTTTAATATATTTTAATTTTAAGGAAAAAAAATAAATACAAGTATAATTACTGACAAAATCTTAAATCATTCATATTTATTTAAAATGAATCATGCATTTCATTGCATATATTCATATATGTATAATAATAAATAAATAAGATATTTATTAAGAACAGTTGCACACCAAAAATATTACACATATTATATACATTTATAAACTATGATAAATATTGTTTTTCTTAAATATTATATTAATTTTAAATAATAAGTATCTATATAATTTTTTTTGTTTATCACACGTGCAACATTATAAAACTAACTACTTTTTATCCATCACTACGGTTGATATAGTGAAGCGATAAGAACTTAGTAAACACAATTGAATTCAGATTTAGGTTATATCAGCCAGGCCACATTTTTAGATTTATATTCTAACTTCCATAAAAGTGATTTCAATGATATAAAAATGTATGAATATAGTATTATTTGTTTGAAATAAAAATTTAATATAATTTAAAATATCGGATCAATCAAACTCCAACAGATCTCATACTGATATTAATTCTTTTTTTAGAAACTTTGTCACCCTCAATGAACAAAAAGTAGATAGTTTTTACTATACTACACATATCAGTATTGAATTAATTTATAAAAACCTTTACAAAATATGTACTATAGTAAAGGATATAATTTAATAGTAAAATATTTCATACTAAAAACTTTAAAAATATTTAGATTTAAACTTACATCTATAATATTTAAATTATATAAATTATGCTAATGAATTGCTTACCTGATAAATTGAAATCACCAGCCTTATTTGACATTGATGCACACAAAAACAAAATTCTAGTATATATGGCTTAAAGAACTGTACAGCAACAATAACTTTTTTTCTCTTTGTCATTGCTGACATTCATTTCACGCACAATTTCTGCAAACACTTCATTAACATTGGTACGATTCTTAGCACTAGCTTCAACAAATGGACAGCCCCAGATCTGAGCCAGTGTGTTACCCTCAATCGTGGGTACCTCACGCTGGTGTTCAAGATCAATTTTGTTGGCCACCAATAATATAGGTACTCGCTCAGACCCTTTAACCCTAGTAATGAGCTCCTTCATGGGTTTGATATCCTGGAACGTCTGGTGGTTGGTCAGGCTATACACGACGACGAAACCCTGTCCATTTTTTATGTACAAATCACGCATGCTAGCAAATTGTTCAGTACCGGCCGTGTCAAGTATTTCCAACACACATGGAGAACTGTCAACTTCAATCTCCTTCCTGTAAAAGTCCTCAATGGTTGGGTCATACTTCTCCATGAACCGGCCGGACACAAATTGAACGGTCAGGGCACTCTTGCCCACGCCACCCGAACCCAACACGACCACTTTGAACTCGCGCATCGTAGTAAGGCCAAACGACGATAACTGGGCATACGGATCGCTATGAATGGCGGCGACCGTCGACGATGTTCGACATGTTGCTGTTGCTGCTGCTGGGACTGGGTATTTTCACGTCGAACGATCGTTTTGTTCGGCGGCGATACGACACGCTGAAAACAGCGTGAAGAGGAAAAATTAAAAGAAAAATAAACACCGAATGAAAATAACGAGGGGAAAAGAAATCGAAAAAAACAGAAACACCGAAACCGCGGATTGCCTGCCAATAAAAATGGTTGCTAATATCAGTAGTCAGATGTGCGCGTATGAGTGTTTAAAGAATATATTTATTTTTTTTCACTCTGTCCTCTTATTTAAAAATATACATACACGACTTACAGCAGCACAATGAAACGAAACGATGATTACGCACACTCGAACAACAATCGCATTCACGTTTACGCACACAAACGCCCAGTTTTATCATGTGTGTGTAAGTGAGTGCGAGTCACTACAGTGGCGCCAAGGTTGTGTCCACGCATTTCCCCGACCGTACAAAAGAAGTGCGGCGGCGACACCGGTGACGTTCGGTCGGTCGTTGTTTATTACCCCTCCGCGCGTCATCGTTCTTTTATTATATTAATATTATTATTATTATTATTATTATTTCTTCTGTTGACCGTTTGCAACTACATACTGCGTTACAACGACGAAACCAACGGTGATTCTGCCCTTTGAGCTGCTGCGTTCGCCTATCCGACAACGGCCGATTCGGCGAGGAAAAATTAAATAAATATCGTACACTCATTATCACGGTGTCGTATTATCATACCGTCGTGTCCCCTCGACAAAACGGCATCAGCTTTTCACATTAAAAACGTATTACATATACAGATTTTCATTGCTGCAATATTGCGTCCGTACACATAACACGCATACAGCGTGATCGTTTGAACACTAGCCATGTACATATTGAAACGTTCTACGAATCATGTTCGCGTGTTGCGTTTGCAACATCGCTCGTGGAGCAAAGAACGCCATTCTAAAAATAGATTTTAGCTATAAATCTAGAAGTAAATAAATCCTCAACATTAGCGTTGCTAATATCTTAGTCGACCACCAATACCTATAAGCTCTTGACAGTATTAATAGTATAATACCAATGGTTCAATGGTATTATTGAATTGTGTGGCACAAATTTTGCCGTTTTACGTGCAATAAGAATCGTATTACCATAGGCGGACATTTGGTTGAATTTTAGGGGGGGGGCTATAATTATTCAATGTAAAATAACCCGCAGGGGCTTCGCCCCCACACTCCCTTCCCATACACAAGTAAAACTTATTACCATTAAAAATATAGATATGTTTAAATTGTATTAAAAAAACACTAAATAACGTATATTTAAAAATAATTAATATTTAATTTTAATGACAAATAACTATTTGTATTAGCAAAGATACTCAAAATATCATCGCTTTTTATATTTTTCGATAAAACTTTTTTAATATAAAGTATTGAAAGATTGCTGAACCTATCTTAAACCAACAATGTTCTTAGCCAAGTTCTTATTTTTTTCATTGCACTGAAACTTCTTTCGCAAGTAGCCAAACTATGTAATTGGCATTGTTAATGCTATTGTAAATAGTTTTTTATTATTTCTTATTTTACGATTTAAAAAAAAAAAAAAATGAACAGATAATTATAAATAAATTATAAAAACAACAAATAAAATTTCTAATAAAGTTTCGATTTTGGGGGGCTATTAAAATATTTGGGGGTCTAAGCCCCCCAAGCCCACCTGATATCCACCTATGCGTATTACTCATATTTCCCTATATATTACAATAAGTGCTCTGTATGTGCAAACCACTGTTGTACCAGTGCTACTCCGCGCTGATAATACTCTACGAAGTTACGTATCATTATTACTCATACTAGTCTATCCGTGTTCATATGCTCGACGTTTATGGAAAGCAATTATTTTATTGATAAACTATTATTGGTGTGACTTCGGCGATTGAATATTAAAATATTAAAACGCGTGAGGTGTTTAATAACTTTGTTGTTAAAACTTAGTAAACGTACTTCGCATCACCGATTCCAACTTCCCCAAAGCTTAACGAAACGCGTACCTACACTATCCATAACACAATCAAGTTCACATGCGTTTTTCAAGCTATTCACAAAATCATATCCACACCCACCATCTGTATAGCCAGTAGAATGAAATTTTTCGAATTCTTCCCACTACCTACCCCAAGGTCTCAAATCCCAAACAATGGTACCCAACAGAAACTAGAAAATGCCATTGTGTCGCTCTAGCAATGGGCCAACCGTTCACATTAAATAATTTTTAAAACATTTTCTCCAAAAATGCGTCCATTATAATATAATGTTATTTTACATCTATGGATTAAACAATATTATGATTCGTAAGTTTTTATTTTCAATTCTCTCTATTAGATAATTTTTAGGTCCACGGTCAAATTGTACACTTCAAATATAGATAACCAATGTAATGAGTAATTATTGTTTACAAATCAAAAAAGTCACTGTAATTACTTCAACAAATGGTGTAAGTAATTTAAGTAATTTCATTAAAATTTAATAGTATCATTAATTTCACTAATTCCTTTTTCACTAATGATTTTGATTATGAGATAAGAGAAAGAAATTCACATTCAACAAATTATTTTATGATATTTTTCGTACATCATGTTTGGTTCGGATTCTTATTGTTTAATATACTAATTAAATACCATATTAACTCAGGTTACAAACCGTCAAGTATTGTGATAGTAGGTCTAAAAATATGTAATTTTCTTTAAAATTGAATGTTTTAATTTGATAATATAAGGTAGGATATTATGTCTGTCTTGTGTTTGTCGTGTGTGTAAGCGTATTATATGATTGCGTTGCATAGTAGTGTATCAGATACTCATATACGAGGTCTGTTCAAAAAGTTCCCGAATTTTTCAATTTTTTATTTATGGTGCTTACTTACAAGCTATTGAGACTTATCACCCTCGAAGTATTCTCCCTCTTGGTTAATACACTTTTGCCAACGACGTTTCCATTGTTGAAAGCAATCCTGGAAAGCGGTTTCTGGAATTGCTCGTAACTCCGTTAGCGAATTTTCTTTTATTTCGTCTATCGTAGAAAATCTTTGTCCTTTTAACGGATATTTTAATTTTGGAAATAAAAAAAAGTCTGCTGGTGCCAAATCGGGAGAATATGGTGGATGAGGAAGTACGGTCATGTGATTTTTCACGCAAAAATCACGAATTAACAGGGAAGTGTGCGCCGGAGCATTGTCGTGATGAAGAAACCATGAGTTTTTTTTCCACACTTCAGGCCTTTTCCTCCGCACTTTTTCTCGAAGACGTTTTAATACTTCTAGATAGTACCATCGGTTAACAGTTTGTCCTGCAGGTAGAAATTCGTGATGAATAACTCCCAGATTGTCGAAAAAAACTGTTAGCATAACTTTGACGTTTGATCTGACCTGACGAGCTTTTTTTGGTCTTGGAGAAAATTTACCAACCCACTGTGATGATTGGACTTTTGTCTCAACATCATAGCCATAGACCCATGTCTCATCACCCGTTATAATTTGCTTCATGAACATGTCATCATCGTTAGCGCGATCTAACAATTCTTGACAGATTGTTACGCGGTTGTCTTTTTGATCTTGCGACATCAACCGAGGGACAAATTTTGCTGCAACGCGGTGCATTCCAAGTTTTTCGACCAGGATTTCATGACATGAACCAACCGATATGTTATAATCTTCCGCGATTTCTCGAATAGTTAAACGTCTATTAGACCGCACAATTTCATTGACTTTTGTCACATGAGCATCGTCTGTCGATGTCGACGGACGTCCTGAACGTGGGTCGTCATCAACTGATTCCCGACCGTCTTTAAAGCGTTTAAACCAGTCGTAACACTGTGTACGTCCTAAACACTGATCACCATAAGCATTTTGCAACATTTTGTGAGTCTCAGTAAAAGATTTACAAAGTTTAACACAAAATTTAATACTAATACGTTGTTCGTGAAAATTACTCATCTTAAAAATCGCACAATACACACGACTCGTCTACTTTGAACGCGCACAGTTAATGATTCGATAGCAATAAACATTTGAGATTTAATGGAAAAGATAGCTGCTTATCTGTATTTTATTTTGATATAATAACATTTACAATAATGTAATTTTTCTATTTTTAGAAACGATAGTTCGGGAACTTTTTGAACAGACCTCGTATTATATTATTTTACTGTAGAGCCTATATTAATATATCAAAATCAATGTTATAAGTTCATAATGCATAATCTTATATAATAAATATTATTAATAATAGTATTTAAATAGTACATAGAATTAAATAATATTAACTTCCAATAATAATTCATATGAAGGAGTAATATAATGTATTTTTATTCTTTAAAGTATTAATTAATTTAATTTTTTTGGTATTCATTATCAGATCCATTTATTTAAATTAAGAATCTGCATTTATAGAAATTATTAATTAATTATTGTTTACGAATATAAAAGACATTTATAGCTATCACAAATTAAAATACTAAAATACTCATTAAATATAATACTTAGTCAATGTACATTCATACTTTGTGTGATTTACGAATTATTTTAAGCCATTGTCTTTTGTTTTATTCTATATAATATTTGATATTATACTATAATTTTAATGTTTTATAATTTATAAAGATAATATATATCATTTTTTATATCTATTATTAAATTCGCTTGTAAAATAAATGTTGGGTTTGATAAGCATACTGTACCAATATAAGCAACATGTTGGTTGGCAGCCAACTTATATTTTTTTTAAATAAAAATTGATTTCTTTTTTTTTATAACTTATCAGTTATCTTTTTATTTTCCATCAACATGTTAGTTTTTGGTATTCAACTATTCACATCTAATAATTTACTTCCTATACTATACTTAGGTATATTCATTGTTTCATTTTGCACTTCATATAAACGAACATAAAGTATAATAATACATTTATAATTAAAAAAAAAAAATTGTACATATATTTTTCTCATTTAAATACTTAATTAAATACTGTGGGATTATATTTTAAAATATTATAATGCATAAAATGTTAAGATATTTTGCATCAATAATAACAAGTTAATAACATTTTAAATATATTTTCAGAAAAGTTCTTTCATAGTATATTTTTACTTGTACGGCAAAATTATATTTACTATTTAATATTTAAATTTGAATGTTTACTTGAACCAAGGTAAAATTATAAAACAAAATTAAAAACCTCGGTAGACAGCGGTGTGTGAGTATAATATTTCGAAGATCATGATCATGAATTCAGATTCAACTTAATATTGATATGCCTAAGCAATAATGAAATTAATATTCAAACATATAAATCCACGTGTAGTTTGGTAGTCTTGTGATTAAATAA